CTGGTTCCAAAAACTTTCTTAGTTATAACTTTCTATTTGACACTGACCAGATGTTTTTTGATTTCAAGTGAATTTGAAAAAAATACAGTAAAACACTCTAATTGATCAAATATATCATCAATTTTTGGCAAATGACATTTGTTTTTTATTATCACTTTGTTCAGCTCTCTATAATTGATGCAGTCACATCGATCAGTCTTTCTTTTAGACAAACAAAATTGGAGTACTCCAAGGCGAATTACTTGACCTGATAAAACCCTTATCTATCAATCCTACCTGATAAAACCCTTATTTATCAATCCTTGAAGCTGACATTTCAAAATTTTAAATTCCTTTTGGAGCCATCCCATACGGAAACTTGAAAATTGCAAACGTCCCTAGTTGTAGATCAATGCCAAACTCAACTTCTTGTTCTAGTAGTAGCCTTGGCAATTCTTCAGGAAATGCATCAAAAAATTCTGCATTAACTGGAATGCTTTTCAATCCTTGCACATCTTTATTCAGCCTTCTAATTTAGTCAGTAATACTAGTTCATTTCTTCACAAATATTTTGCAACTTTTATTGTACTAATTAAAGAAGATTGTGCATTTTGATCACATAAGATATAGAATGACTCTGGGTGTGGAGGGAACCTCCTGCCTGCCTTTGTATTTTTTTTTTTTGGTTTTGATAAAATTTTCCTTGGGATTCTATAAAGGGGATATTGAATGACTTTCCACTAGGAAAATTGAGTTTCACTCGCCTTTTCCATCATTCAGTTGTAGAAAATGTTTTATCAACCAATCCCATCCCCAATATGGCATCGAATGTATGAATTGGAATGATAATCAAATATGCTTGCAATTTTTTATCATGAATATCAACATGCATGGCACATTTTCTTTTTGCAAAAAACTGCGTCCTGAAGGTATAATAACATACAATGTATGAGTAAAGTGCATAATATCAACATGTAAACTGACAACAAATTTATTAGAAATAAAAGATTGTGATGCACCTGAATCAAATAAAACAATATCTAACTGAACTCGAGGCAAAAACACACCGATAACAACTTTAGATTCTTTGGCTTCACGAGGTGTAATTTCAAAAACTTGGGCTTTACGGGTTGCTTAGTTCCGCGCTCTGAAATTTCACCCTTTGCTTGAACTGAAGACTTTCTCAAAAATTGAGTTTTGTTGAACCGACCGCCTTTCAAAAATTTTTTGTGCTGTCCTTGTCCTTGAATTATCAGTGGTCTGCTGTCTTTTTTCTTTTTTTACGGACATTGCATTTGGATACGCCTTGACTGTACATATTTGTAGTATTTTTTTGAACCAATCAAACGCTGTCCAAAGTGTATTTTTCCACATTTTTCATAAACTAACTTTTTATTACAACTGCTTCTGCTTACCTTTTGTTTTTATTTTTTTTACTTTAGGGGTTGTCTTCCTTGCTAAAATCCTTTCACTTACTTGTCTGAGGTTGCCAATGCTGACCGGAGAAATTGAACTCATTTTCATTTGATTGGCTCATTCAATTAGCACTTAGAAATCACAAATTTCAAATGACACCAAAGCCAACCTCAACTGATTTCTAAAGCCACGTAGAAATTTGTAATATTATTTTTCCTGGGGACTAACATAGTGAGGTGCATATCTAGAAAAAAAATTAAATTCTGTTTCATATTACATAACCAATCTGGACATCTGAGTCAGATTGAATAATTTATCTTCTAATACTAATTTGACTGAAGGCGGAATAAATCACTCTTTCAAGACTTTAATAAATTCAGATGACTAAATCTATGGAAGAGATGTCAGCTGAAATTTTTCTCTATGCTGCTTTGCTAAAACCACTCTCCAGTTTTTTAGAGAAATCATATAATCCAAGATTTTTCTGATCTTCAATAGGTAATCTTTAGCAACTGTAGGGTTACTGACACTCTCGAATGCAAGTGGCTTAAAAGACTGAAAGATCTTCAAATGCCGATCAACTTCTGCCCCAATTTCAGATTTGGACCCTATACTAGTGGATGATCTTTCAATAAGAGCTATTTTTTTAACCACTTAGGCTATCAATTGAATGATGCCTTGTAGCTCAGTTACCCTAGTTTTTTCATTTGTTTTGTTTTGATTATTATTTCTGCCCAAAATATTTTTAGTTCTTAGTCTGCTCTTGGCTTAAGAGACCGATTCATAGTACTTTCTGACTCACATTCAGACATATTTATCTGCATTGACAATAGTTATTATTCAAATGCAAATTATCGTATAATAATTATATCGTGCACATATGATGTATTAAGTCATATGGGTTACCCACCTCATATTCATCAACATATAGATATGTATACATCAATTCATATTTGATCTCCTTCTTACTTCTAAATCCAAAATATTTTCATCATTCTTTTCATTCAATAAACTTTGCTCTGATACCACTTTTTGTCACACCCCATGTAGCCCCCCTTGAAGGGTCGGCTAAGGTGCAACAAAGGCAGACAATTTAATCAGATTAAATTTTGACCAACACTCATTCTGACTTGCAGAATTATGACCTAGTCAGTGATGAACTTGTCTAACTAGATCGTCGTAAACATACTTGATACATTTCATTCATTAATTTTCACGTATAATCAGAAGCGTGAAAAATTATATCATCAAAACATATAAAATATATAAAGTTACTAAATCCAACATTAATAAAATACGTACCCAAATGAATGTACAAATTCTCAGAATTATAAATGCAAAATCTATACAAGTCACACACGACTACTTGCCCATTGCAAAAAAAAATTCTATGAACAACAACGATTGAACAATATTTATGAAAATATTTCCTGAAAATAAACAACATAGATTGAACAACAACGAGCTCAGTGAAATAATCAAGACAAAAAATATTTTATATACGAAAAAGAGATAGCATGCATGCCTGTATGCTTGTACATAACAAACATATCATAAAATGCTAGAATCGTATAACACATGTAAAAGAAAAACATATAGTATAAAAGAAATCATGAAAATTGTATAAAATATGTATGTCATTCATTAATGTGTAATCATCAACATGTAATCATAAACATGTTCATAAGAATTATATACCTGTTCATAGCAATGTCACCTGTAAATATACAAGTCTCAATTATTTTCATGTTTTGTCATATTACAGGTCGTCACCCTGCCTCAATGACCATATTAAGTATTTATAATAGTTTCTCCCAACATAATAGTTATCTATAGCCTCATTGATGCCAATGATTTCCTATGTTATGTCACCTTTTGATCACAATGGTTCTAGAATTTCTTCATCATCTGAACACTAGGAATCGAGAGTACCACATCTCTGCATGGTTTACTTGCAAGTATTCATGTAATAACATACCCATAACATAACTTGTGACATTTAAATCATTATTCCTATATCAAATATTCATCACAGACATTTCATATATGATCCATGAATAATAAGAAATGAATATCTACAAGCAATGATTTTATAAGCATAATCATCTATATTATAGCACAGGATAACATCACATATATTTTAAAACAAATTAACTTACATTCATACATTCAATGGATGCTTCCATGCACAATATGTAAGAAATTTTATTTGCATCAATGTCAAATGTGGAATCATAAGAAAACCTTTAGACAATTATTTTTCTTAAGTTATCACGAGATTATTTCATCTGATTAGATGAAGCAGCCCAACGACGAGTTCCCACACTCTTGCTCGAGCTTGCCGCCTCATGTAAAGAACATAGAAATTGTAGACATCGTAGAGAAATTCATTGAATCATAGCTTGTTTCATGATTTAACCAAAAATTTAATTCATTTGCCAAAACATAAGTCAAACGGGCTTCTCGGCATAATCCAACCTTCCGATACCGCCCATTCTTCTTCCCTCTTATTCCTGTCACCTCAATCTTCTCTTCTCCTCCCTGAAATCGTGCTATAACCCTCACAGAAGCTCCAAACTAAGTTCAATGCTTCTGACAAAGTTCGATGCTTGGTATGGCTACTAGAAACGAAAAATTGCATAAATTTATAGCAAACATCAAAATGGAAATAAAAGGAAGGAAATTATTGTATAGAATAGCGTAAAAAAGGGATTCATGCTCATCAATTTATTTTTGTAACCCATCGTCATGAACTGCGGTTCCCAGAACTGTCGCTCGCCTCCCTGTTCGTGCCCAACACATTAACAAAGGATGCTAACTCCTACAAGCGAGCGAAATGTGGGTAGGGAGAGGCGCGAATCCCGATATTAAGATAATCCCTCCCCTTAACTCTTAGCGACATGGTCTCGTCAGACCATTGCATGCACGAGAAAGTGCAGGAGATCGGCTAGGTACGGTGAATAGGCATAATTATGATATAATTAAGGGATTAATTAGGTTAATTAGATTTATAATTTCCGAATTTATATATCTCAATCCATTCAAAATTAATATATAGCGTTTTATATTAAACTGATCTTTTTGAAGTGTAGAATTTTATTAAAATAATTCTATTGAATTCCGAGGAGTGCGAAATTTGGGGTACTTTTAAAGTTTGTTGAACTTTTACCTGATTATCAAATTTTGGGCGTTACACCCGCTATTTATTTGATGCTTGGTTCTCATCCCCTCCATTTAGTGTCTTCGTGTGCAAAATTTTAATATCTATTATAATTATGACCTCTGTCTTGTAATTGAACCAATCACCAGTGACTAATGGAACAATCCTCTTCATTGTTTTTTTTTTTTTATTTGTCATTGTAATACTGGTTTGATTTGAATGACTAGCTTGCAAAAACTTAATTCACTTTTTATTTGTTTTATTTTTGATGAAATGTTAAACGTACTCTATTTTTTTTATCTAGTTATAAATTTATCTTTTTTAGTTTTTGCCTTTTTTATAAATTAAATGTTTACGGAACTGCAATGTTGGATTTGATAATTCAATTTCACTGTATTATTATAACCTTTCTTTGTCTGTTTGCTTTATTGGATTACAAGTGCAGCTTGCTGGTTTCGAAATGAATGTGGTTAAAACAACTGCTGCAGGTCATGCAAGAAAGCTGGCTGCTACAGTTGATATTAACACTTGTCCTGATGGTAGGCCACAATTGCTCTTTTATGCATTTCATTATGTTTTTGCCAGTGTTGCTTAGCTTACGATCGTTTCACAGGAATTGTATGTGTGGGCGGTGATGGAATTATAAATGAGGTTAGTCATTCCCAAGTTCTTACTCTGGCCTTGGTTGATTGATTGATTCTTTTTCTTCTCTGATGTGCCATCTTCTAATTTCCGTGCATTAACTATACATTTCTGTATAATTGCTTTAAAATATTTTTGACCATTTATTCTTTAATTCTTTTCTTATTCCTTATGCTTACCAAACATATAAGCGCAAACTAATTAATAGCATGGAATATATTTTTACTTATCAATTTTATCTGAATTGAGGTGATAAAGGCTGGCGGATGTCAATCTAATTTCTTTGGTTGGACTGTATTTCATTGTTAGAAATCCCAAGAAAGCAACTTTTTGCTGCTCCGTAGTTCTAATAAAGGGGTTTCACATGCAATATTTAATCATAGCATACTTTATGAAGTTATTAGGCACCTGTTTGTTTGATGTGCGGGAATGGAAGTGGTTAGAACTCATTGATGCCTCAGATTCTATATTCAATTATATTTTATTTTGTGCATTCATTAGGATACAGTTTGTTTGATATGAACATATGGAAATGGTTGAAACTCAATGAAAGGAGTTTTATTGAAGAGATTTTAGTGGCATCTCTTTTGTTTGACCAATCAATTCCCGTTAACAAAATCTGACTAGTGTTAGAGAAGGGGTTTTGACCCAAAGATATATGAGAGGAATTTACTAGAAACCAAAAATAACCAAGATAACTCACTGAAGATCTCTCAAAAGAAATAACCACAAATCCACCACTACAATTGCGTGAATATATAACCAAGCAAAATAATTTTCACTTACTGATCATTCAAGGGTTAGCTGAGCCACTTGGGAGCTGGATCTATAGAGTTACAAAGAAAAGATACATTGAAATTTTTTATCCAAGGGTTGGTGACGCGGGGCGCTAAAAGGCGACCCTTAACGGGATGCTTGGCACACGGGGTAGAAAACTCGCGAAGCATCGAAAGCGGGAAATGCATTGCTAAGGCGGGATCGCAAATTCTCGTGATCGTGGGAGACGCGTGAGGGTAGATCATGATTCTTTGGTGCCCGCCTTCGTATAGTAAGTTTTAATAGCTATTTTTCTGGATTCTTCTTGCCTCCCCACCCTTCCTTTTGTGTAGATGTTTCCTTTGTCCTGTGGGAGTCTATAAATTGTTGTTCTCTGTGTGTGGGAGTCGGTTCTTGCAGTGTTTGTTTTCAAATCTTCTGTTTGGAGTTCTTTTCCTTATTCTATAGTTGTATTCAAGGAGGTGGCGGCGCTCCGGCCGAACCTTCAACTGTCCTATGAGCAGGGTAGTCACTCTCACAGATCAATACGCTATGGAAGAGATGAGCGAATAGGAGAAAATTGAGGAATAGAGCGAGGAGTATCAACTCCCACCAGACGAAGAAGTGCTTATGATTCGACGAATCCGGCAAACCGAGGACACGAGAGATCCGTTGTGGCTTTGCCACAATATATTCTACACTCGTTGTAAAGTAAACAAAAATGTATGCAGTCTTATCATCGACAGCGGTAGCAATAAGAACATGACATCAACATAAATGGTAGAAAAATTGGGACTTGCGACTCAGGGGCATTCCCAACTTTATTCATTGATGTGGCTGAGAAAGAATAATCGGGTTAAAATTAATCAAAGATGTTTGGTAGAGTTTTCAATTGGAGGCTAGCTACAGGACCAGGTGTGGTGCGACATGGTTCCCATGGTTGCTTGACACCATTTATTGGGACGACCGTGCTAGTTTGACTAGAGGACTCAACAAGACAGATATAGAAACACATTCTTTCACCAAGAACGGGAAGCGCATCACCTTACTCCCTTCAACAAAACCCGAGGTCATACGATCTCTTATCAACAGAGCAGTATGAGTGGAACAAGATTTAGTGGCGACACAAAATGAGTGTACTGAGATACTAGCTCCAAACACGGGATATATACGACAGAAAAGATTTCAGGAGCTCACAGTCGGCATCATATCACCAGCTCCACCACTGGGCGGGAAGGTTCAGGCCACTCTCCCAACACAACAAACTGAACCGCCTGTAAGCTACTTTAGGAAGATTTAGCAGTACGTGCATGGCACACAGTCCTAGAAGATGAGATTGAGGTGGATGTTTGCTCATAAGTGGAAGAAGACCCTCAGGCACCTCTGGAGACAGTGCATTCACAATGGGATCTAAGGGTGACTTACGATGAAACAAAAGCTTCGACCATTGACGTTGAAGCTCCCCCAACCCCGAGAGACTGACATAGGGAGCTAAAAAGCGGCCTTATAGCGGGGTGCTGGACATGTGAGGCAAAAAATCTGTGAAGCATCAAAAGCGGGAGAAGTATCGAGAAGGCGGGAAGGCGGGGTCGCTAATTCTCGCTATCGCGGGAGAAGAGTGAGGGCAAATTTCGAGCCTTTGGTGCCCGTCTTCATATAGAAAGTTTATAACTAGGTAGGTTTACGTTTTAGATACCCTTACCCTTTTAAACTCCTTTCATTTTTAGAAATAAATCTCATATATAAGTTTTATTTACCTAAAATATCAAGTGTTCTATATTTCAAAATAATAATAAAATAAAAAGATTATGAGTTCTGATGCTTGGAAACCTTGTCCATTTTCCATACAAGGTTAGTACATTAATATTGTTATGTACTTGGTCCGCCTTTTCATTGTGATTAGTATCTCATTCAGTCAGAGACAAACTTATTGGATCAGTGGCTGAGAAAAATGATCTCTCGTTAACATGATGTGCTGACAAGTAAGCATTCACGAAATTGGAGAGGCTTTAGTGTAATGATGGAGTTGGTTTTTCTACATCCAAATCTCTATTTGGTTTTGGAACTAGACAGAATGTCTGTGTTACGAGTGCGCCTAGCCTAAGGGCAAATTTGTTTTTTGTACGCCTAAGGGTAATTTAGTCTTTTATTATTATTATTATTGGGTGTAAATAGATTTGTTGTATCTAGGGTTAGGTTTTATGCATGAGATTGAGTTGTGAGGTCTAGGGCTTGGGAGAGATTTCCTTCCTCTCTAATTGTAGGAATTGGGAGAGATCACCTGCCTCTCAAATTGTATGTGCTTTTTTTTGTATTTGTGTGAGTTGTTTGGATTATTGAAGAAAATATTTGTGTTTGCCCTAATTTCTATAGAAATCTGTGCCAATTTCGACGCAAAATCATATCAAATTGGTATCAGAGCTCGAGATTCTGGGAATCAGATTAAAGGATCAAAAGCTGAAGCAAATTGCTTCTTCCTGGGCTGGGCGACGATTTCAATGTGCATAACGCTTCGGCTTGCTTTGTCGTTTGCACTTTAAGTGAGGCTGAATTGGTGTAGAGAGACCTGATCTCTCCTTGATTGGTGTGATCACAGCTTATGGAGATCCGCAACCCATCGGTGCTCCTTTTTCCGCGCGGTCTCACATGGTACAGTCGCGATCAGAGCTTCTTGGGAAGCTAGTGAGACCAACAGAGAACAGAAACTCCCATTTTTCTCTGCCTCCTGTGCCGACTTCGCTTCCTTTTGCATCACCTATCCGATACAGTTGCGATCAGAGTTACCTGGGAAGGCAACGACTCGGAAGCGACCTATAGAGATGCGAAACTTCTGCTCCGTCCCACAATAGGCCTCGATTTCAATGCAAGGAAAGGCGATGACTGGATCACGTCTTCCGAAACTCGCGCCTTTCTCCTTTTGCTCCGTCCTCGAGATCTAGCTACAGCTGTCGTTCCGTTTTCACAACACAACCACAATAGTTGTATGCTGGGAAGGCAATGACGAGCTCGCGGTTAAGCAATGACGTGCTCGGGACTTACAAAAGAAGGCAACGATAGGTTGGGAGCCTTTCGTTTGCTCACACTGCCGTGAACCAACCCTACGATACAGTCGTAGTTAGAACTTACGGGGAAGGTCACGACGAGATCTTATCGGGGCAGGACAGAAGGTTTGTGCATGTCGTTTTACTTTCATCTCCATCTCATTGAACTGTGTGAAATAGACTCAGTTAGATCAGAACTAGCGGGGAAGGCCGCGACGGAATCAGGCGTGCCCTAATTTTAATACTAGAAGTAAGTGACTGGACTCAGAATCAAGCAGGCCCTAGTGTCAGGAGATAATGACAGCTAAGAAAAATAGAATATAAGAATTTAGAGGAAGAGATAAGTCAAATTAGGGAGATGGAAGAAAAGATTGTCGCCATAGGAAAATTGAATGGAGGTTCGATTCGAAAGCATGAAGGAAATTCGAGAGATGATAAAGAAGCTTTTTGAGATGTTATCCAAGACCCTGGCGGTGGTTCAATTGCCAATCCTAACCAAATATTGATTGGAGAATCCGTGGCAAGATTGAAAGAAAAAGACATTGAACATGAGGAATATGAGGAAGAAAACCTCCACCATCATGAACATCCTCTCAGTGCTCTGAGTAGGGGTGAAATAGAAATTTGAGATGGAGGCAGTTGAGCGGAAACATGGAGAAGTGATTATGCTAGAAGTTTGGAGGAGCATGAAGAAGGGAGAGAAGCGGGGAGGGGATATGACTACCGTCAAAGGAAGGAGTTATATCCTCGATACATTGATTGAAACAACGGAGGAAGAGGAGGTTGGGGTGAAGAAGTTAGAGTTAGGAAGTTAAGGTGTCGGTCTTCAAGGGGGAAGACACACATGAGTGGGTGTATCGAGTTGAGCGATAATTCACTGTGAATTGGTTAGATGAGAAGGAGAAACTCATGGTGATTGTGATTGGAGGGGAAAGCATTAGCTTGGTTTTAGTGGAGGGAGGCTATATACTCGATTCGTTCGTGGGATGAATTTAAGGATTGTTTGTTGAAATGTTTCCGAGCCATTCGGGAAGGAGATCTACACTAGAAATTCTATGCCTTGATTCGGGTGGGGACGATCATGGAATATAGAGAGAGATTTGAACTATTGCCAGAATGACTGTGGTGGATTTTTAAAACGAAACTAGAGGGGAATTTCATGAATGACTTAAAGTCCGACATATGGGCAGCACTCCGACTACTAAGAACGCGGGGATTGGGGAAGACGATGGAGTTATCCCAGATGGTGGAAGAGAAGAACCAGATGAAGAGAGCCAACAATAGCAACATAAATGGAGCATTATACAGAACTACTGCAACCACAATGTTGCCAAAAGTTTAGACAGTGGAAGTCCAGAGGGAGGTTGCAAAAGACATGAATAATGGACCACGATCGGGAGCAACACTCAAGCGCCTTATAGAGACAGAGATCTGGGAGAAGCGAGTCAAGGGGTTATGTTTTCGGTGTGATGAAAAGTTTACCCCAACACAACGTTGTAAGGATCGAAGATTACAAGTTCTCATAGTGCAGGATGAGGAAGCAGAGAATGGAGAAATAGAGATAGCTGTGGGGGAGGAACACTCATTTTTTCCCACCTTGAGAATAAGGTGTTTTTTGAGGGGGGAGTATTGTTATGAGGGTGCCTGAACTAAGGGCAACTATGTCTTTTATACTCCCAAGGGCAATTTAGACTTTTATTATTGTTATTGTTAGGTATAAGTAGACTTGTTATGTCTGGGGTTAGGTTTTATGCATGAGATTGAGTTGGGAGTTTTACATCTAAGACTTGGGAGAGATTTTCGACCTCTCGAATTGTAGGAATTGTGAGAGACCGCATACTTCTTGAATTGTAGGTATTTACCTTTGTATTCTTGTTCAATCGTTTGGATTATTGCAATAGTAATTTATGTTTGCCCTAATTTCTACAAAAATCTGTGTGAATTTCTATGTCGAATGTATCAATCTGTTAACCCTATCAGATTTGACTCAATATCAAAGGCTTTAGTTAACAGGGCCTAAATGACCAATTTATCCAGGGTTGGACCTATGTATTATCCATAGTGGGCAATTGTCCACCTTGAATTTTAGAATTTTATTAATGAAGGGGAGAAAATTCAATTATTTACCCCTCTGAATATGTCGGTTTGCCCTGTTGCCCCTTCGGTAAGGCTTCGATTTGCTCAGTTGCCCTTCTGGGGCTGCAAGTAAGAACTTGTTCAATCTAGAACTGACTAAGTTTATTCACAAGTCAATTTTAATGAGCTCTTTTTGAGCTGATTAAGCTTATTAAAGCTCAATTTTAGGCTTATTAACCCGATTTTAATGAGCTCTAATTGAGCTGATTAAGCTTACTAAAACTCAATTTAAATGAGCTCTAATTGAGTTCGTTAAACTTATTAAAGCTATACAAATGGTAATTTTAAATCAAAGTAATTCAATTAACTTCAGAAGTTAATATTTTTATTTAAAAAGATTTGCTCAGTTGCCCTTCTGGTCTGCAAGAAAAATGGATCAAAATAAGAGCTGCATGACCATAAATTGTTAGAAATTTATGCTTTTTAGGGCTACTCCTTTATATTTAAATAGCAGTATCACCAATTACCTTTCCTAGTTGAGACTAATATGAAAGCATACTGAGGCAGGCGGGACTACCACCGAAAACCTCCCACCCAAGTTTTAGGGGCATTTACATGCATACAATCCAATCCAATCTATTTACATATTTAACCTAAACTTCGATTTTTACATTTATACCATCTAAATCCTTCATATAATATAAAAAATACCACCATTTTAACTTTTTTAAAAAATGAAACACTCATGTTCCTGCATAAGGTGATATGCATGTAAAAACGGAAGTGAGTGGTATGTACGTAAATCTTTTTCAGTAAAAAATACCATCATTTTATTGTCATGTTTTTATTATGTTAAAAAAAATAATAATAATTTGGCATACTTATAATATATATTTGTATTAAAAAGTTTATATTTTTTGTGATATTTGAGTGAGTAAAATATAAAATAAAATTATAGTTAGTCTCAAAGGTGTAAATTCACTTATTAATTTTTTAATATATCTTTTGTAATTAGTATGAGCTTCACATGAAACTTGCAATTTCATTAAATTATATATAATGGGAAGCTTTATGCTAAAATATGAAATTATTTTTCAATTTACTTTTGATAATTTTTTAATTATGTTTTAATTAATAATATAAAAAGTAATTTAATAATAAATTAATTCTAATCTTATTTTATTTAAATTAAATGTTATTTTCTTTATTTTTAGAAAATTGAATTTATTTATATAATAATTGCCCACCATTAAAAATGAGATTGGTTTTAGCCCTGAATCTATAATTTTAATTGAACTTTCTTTTGCCATATTTCAAGGATACCATGAGTCATTGTAAACGTGTTTGCAAAAAGGTTTACTTTTCCCTTTTCTTTTTGTTTTTAATGGATTTTGTTATGATATGCTTCAATGGTGCAGGTTCTTAATGGTCTATTCAATAGAGATGATAGGAAAGAAGCGATTTCAATTCCAATTGGCATCATTCCAGCCGGTTCTGATAACTCGCTTGTTTGGACAATTCTAGGAATTAGAGATCCAATCGCAGCTGCATTATCAATTGTCAAGGTACTTGAAGTTTCTTGACGCCAACTTTTTGTATTTTAAACATTATTCTGACAATTAAAACTTCGAGTGAAACTTTTTATTCTTTTTTTATTATTATGGTTTCCTCCAACATGAAAATTAAATAATGTTCTTGATTTTTTTTGAACTCCGATGTTTATGCTAATTGATGTTTGAAATGTTTATCTTTATTTCATTAGTTGTCTAGTAAACAATTTTCTAGAATGGAAGCTACCATTTCATGAATTTAGATTACTTCAGTTGCCTTATTATTAATTAAAAGAGTCCGGCATTTGTTATATCTCATAGAGGGTCATCAGAGGAGTTGTAGATATTTATTAGTTTTCCAGAGAACAAATTTTTGGAATGTAAAGTTACTGTTTGGGATGTATAGATTACTACTCAGCTGCCTTGCATGTTGATAAAAGGGATTTAACTATTGATATATTTTTTATTTTTTTTACATTTATTTGTAGTCATTTCATCTTTCATATTTTTGTTTTTTTTTCTCTCACTATATTCCATGGTTATATCTTCTATGTAGTGTTAACATTCACATGGGTAATTTAGACATGAATTATTGAAGCATATTCAAAAAACAAGGTTCTGTAGGTTCCAATCTGACGTGGAATCATGGATAAGATCCACACACACACATACAGAGTGCCTTAGAATTGTGATTCTCGGTTTTGATGGAGAATTCAATTTTACCTAAGAAATCGCTGACTCCTTTCTTCTTTTTTGCTCTCTCCTATTATCCTTCATTCCATTTTAGTCATTTCTTATATATGTGTTGTAACAGTGTTTAGAATTCATTTTTGGATAGTCTCTCTGTCCATTTCTCCCTTCGAGGGCTGTATCCGAGGGTTTGAGTGGTGCTCCGGTTCTATCTCTCCCGATGTGGTCTTTATCGTTCCGTATCCCCTTCCGTCTCCTCCCATGTCGCTCCCCGTTGCTCCGGTCTTGCTACAACCACCCGGACAGTTTCCTTTACCTGGTTTTTAAATTCTGGCATTACAATACAGTCACTCATTTGCAGTCATCTTACAAATTACTACAAGCATTTAAGTTGAGTTCTTGAGTTATCTTAGATCTCCTTGGTTGTTCTGAGTATGTGACAAGGCCGGTTTAGGAATGGAGAATCCTAAGGGCGCATTTGTATGGGAATGCTTGATTTGCAGTCCTTTGACAATCATGGTTAATCCTCAGTCCACTTGAACCTGGCTTTGTTATTGATTTTGTTTAACTTATAATAGCTCTCAAAATCTATACTAACCAATAGTCATTCGATTCTTAACTGGAACAACTTGTTTAAAGTTATTGTTCGGGTAAAATGGATGCTTGAAATAGCTATTGATTGCTCCAGGAAAATCAAAGCACAAACACTGTTGTTGCATATCATTTAATAAAAAATATCAGTAACATTTTTACAAACCAATCTTAAAATAATTGATGTCATGGTTCTATGTGACTGGTTGTAAAAGCGACCAATTTGTTAAAAAATGCCTTTTTTTCAGTTATTTATGGTGCTTGCATGGTGATCAACTTTTCTAGTCTCTCATGGAGATTGTAAACATGATGTAGTCTCTATACACTGGTCTTTTTAAAAATCAACCCATCTTCAAGACATGCGATCAATTTTCTATGTTTTGTAGCATTTAGGTTCAAATGGCCTCTAGTTGTATATTTTTTTTCCATCATGTACCTTCTACAAATTAGCGCTGCTCTGAGGTTCTCAGGGCAGGACTCATACATAATACTAAGGTTGTTTGTGTCTATTTATTTCAGTTTTTTTTTCTTGATCATGTTCTGTTGAAGTGATTGGCGTTTTTAATCAAAGATTTTAAGCACTTATAATATAACATGTAGTGTATTTTAATTAATTTTAAGGGTTATACTCTTTCTGAAATTTTATTTTATTTTTTTCCTTTATGCAGGGCGCTCTCACACCTACAGATGTTTTTGCTGTTGAATGGATCCAGACTGGAGCTATTCACTATGGAAATACCGTCTCCTATTTTGGTTTTCTTAGTGACGGTACTATTCTCTTTGGCTCAAGCTTCTGTATGTTTTGAAATATAACTTGTCAACACTATGTACCCATTTCGTGAATAATTTCTACTTTTTTGGCTCCTGTTAGCCTCACGCTTCAACTCTCTCTCTCTCTCTACATGGTCACATAACATTACGAGTTTGTCCCTCTGTCCCACTGTCCCTCCATGAGCACATAAAATACCCAGTTTGTGTCTTTCTCTCCCACTATCTCTCCATGAGCACATAAAACTCTCTCTCTCTGAACCTCCATGATCACATAACGCACTCAGTCCTTCTGTCCCTCCATGGGCACATAACATACCCAGTTTCCCTCTCTCCCACTGTCCCTCCATGAGCACATAACAGACCCAGTTTGTCCCTTTTTCTCCCAGTCTCTCCATGAGCACGACCCTCCCAGTTTGTGTGCAGTTGGAACTTATATTGCTAAAGGATTTCATGCGTGATTATATTAGGTGGCATGGGAGCGGGTAATAGACTTCCCAACCTAAGACCCATCAAATTGTATGTTTACATTGTCAACTTTTTATGTTATGATGTTTTAAAGAATATGAAAGTCTAGCAATTAAACAACTAATTAAGGGTTCATCCCATTAAATTTCAGTAGTACCATAATTAATTTGTAAATGTCGAAGATAAGATATGTTCTATGTATTGCTCGAAGACATCCAAACCAACTCAACCTAGGTGGACCATGTTGCTCCTTTTTTTTTTTCTAGATGTTTTGGTTTAGAGTTATTATTTAGTTCTACCAACTGGAAAACACCTCTTAGGTATCTATATTTATGTTTATTTGTTTGTGTGTTATCTAACTTTTTTGCTTCATCTATGTGTGTATGCTGTGTGTGTGAGTTATGGATGTATGCATGCAAATGTATGTATGAAGTTTGATTAATAACAATTTTTCTATTTAATTGTTACTTTGATTCTCAAGCTTTCAGAATTGTTCTTTTTAAAGCTTTCAGAATCGAGTAAAATGTAAAGTTGTCTTCCTGCTTTTAAAGTTGTCAGGGCCGTGTGACTGTAAAGTTAGTTTTCAGTTCTATAGGAAAACACTATTGTCTCATCCATTTTCCTTCCAAAATATGTTGGCTTTGATATTCCAATGCATGCATGTATTTACATATGGTTAGATTCATTCCATAGATTGGAAAACATTATATGCCTTATCTCTCTATAGTTACATGTTGTATTCCTAAGGATCCTAGCATGACTTAGAAACTCCGAAATATAATTTTTTAAATATAGACTTATGGATTATCATATTACTATTGCTTCAATATTAAATTCAGTATTTACGTTATCCTCTCCTCCCCCCTTTCCTGAGGAGGACATATTCTTAATCAGCCTCTTTTTGTGCTCAAACCCTGTCATGGAATTCCGTGTCTGATACAATATCTTTTATTTGCTTTTCTGTTACAGTGCTGGAACTTTCTGAGAAGTACCAGAAACACTTTGGCCCTCTTCGGTATTTTGTTGCTGGTTTTCTAAAATTTCTGTGCTTACCCAAGTACAGTTTTGAACTTGAATACCTTCCTGTGACTAAAGAGGTGCAAAATGATCGAAAGGCTTTTGATGAGGAAGGCAAACTTGACATGCCCGACCTTTATAAAGACATATTGAGGAGGTCAAGAAAAGAGGGTATCCCAAGGGCTTCCAGTTTATCAAGTATAGAGTCAATTATGTCTCCGAGTAGGATGTCCGGGGACTTGGACGTAACAGGTAGCACTCTTGCAAGCAGTGAGCCATCTGAGGTTGTTCGTGGTCTTGATCCTAAATCAAAACGTTTATCATCAAGCAAAAGCAACCAAGTTCCTGAGCCAGAAGAAGTTATTCATCCTCACCACCATCTATCTAGTACTCCCAATTGGCCAAGGACCCGATCAAAACCTTGGATGGATAAAGGTTGGAGTTCCCTTAATACTAAAAATGATTCCAGGTTTTCTTGGGCACCCACTACTTCAAATGATAAAGAAGAAATCTCTTCAGCAATCTCTGATCCGGGTCCTGTCTGGGATGTTGAACCAAACTGGGATGGTGAACTGATTTGGGATAATGAAGCCAACTGGGATGCTGATGATCCCATTAGGTTACCTGTGCCGCCAGTAGATAACGCAGACATAGGCATGGTTAAGGAACCTGTCCCAGAGTTGAGTGAGAAGTGGGTGGTTAAGAAGGGGCAATTCCTAGGGATCCTCGCATGCAACCATTCTTGCAAAACTGTTCAAAGTTTAAGTTCTCAGGTTATTGCACCTAAGGCTGTGCATGATGACAGAAGTTTAGATTTGCTATTGGTTCATGGCAGAGGAAGACTAAGGCTGCTAAGGTTCTTTGTGTATCTGCAATTTGGTCGACATCTTTCACTTCCCTATGTGGAATATGTCAAGGTATTGGCTTTTTTTCTTTTTAGCATTTGTTCATATGTATTTCAGGCGTTTTTGTAATAAGCTAGCGTTTCCATGCTAACAACTGTGTTTTCAAATCTCTTCTTATATTCCTCGCTTTATAGCATACTAATACATTCATGATCATTGATCTGGCTCTCTGGTTGGAACATTGTGCTGTTTTGCCACCTTGTCTTTGATACTCTCAGTTAGGTTTGAGAATAGAGCAGAATAATTTTATTGATAAAAATGAGGACATAATACATATTACAAGTCCCAAATAAAAGAAGAGGTATAAATCCGGAAATAGACTAAGGAATTACATGAATAAGGAAGCATGAAAGGAAGTAAATATAGGCTAATAATAGCAGCAACAATAATTTACCTAATAATTAGGCTAATAAATCTAATACTCCCCCGCAAGTTGAAACATAGATGTCTATCATGTTCAACTTGGATTTGAAGTCGTCAAACAATGATCGAGGAAGATTCTTGGTAAGGATATCTACTAATTGACCATTGGATGAGACAAATGGAATACAAATCTCCCCTTAATCGAGCTTCTCCTTAATGAAGTGTCTGTCAATCTCCACATGATCGTTGGACCGGATTATGAGCAATACTGATGACGGTTTATTATCACAAAACAGTTAGAGAGGAGCAGAGATTGACGATTCAATTCACGGAGCATGATGCGTAACTAAATAGCTTCATAGATATCTAGGGGCATGGAGCGTAACTTGGCTTCAACAGTACTCCGGGCCACAACTGAAAATTTTTTATATTTCCACGTGACTAGATTTCTCCTTATGAAATCCATAGGTAGATTGTCAATCATGAACAGACCCGACCCAATCCACATCTGTATAAACAACAATAGAACAAGAGATGTGACTTGAGAAAAAATAAACCTGAGCCCGTTTTGCCTTTCAAGTAGTGAATGATCCAGTAGATAGCTCGGAAATGATGCTCATAAGGATCATGCATGAATTGACTCACAATACCTATAGCATGACAAATATTAGGATGAGTATAGGCAAGGTAAATGAGTTTCCGCACATGCCATTGGTAGTGTTCTTGATCATCGGAATTGCATTGGAAACATTAGCTAATTTTTCTTTAGGATGCAGTGAGGCTATCACTGATTTGCAAATGAGATGGTTATTTTATGTTAATAGATCAAGTATATATTTGCGTTGACATAGGCAAATGCCCGAGATGATCGAGCAACATCCATGCCTAAGAAGTACTGGAGTAACCCCAAGTCCTTCATTTCAAATGATGTAGGTCACTCGTGAGTATAATATCATCGCATAGGCGATAAGAATACCAATTTTACCATTGAATGAATGCTAAAAAAGAAGTGAGTGTTGTAGGAGAAAGAAGTGAGTGTTGTAGGAGTGATACCTTGATGGACGTGGGAGGTACATGGGTTGAAATTGAGTTGATTATATTTGAGGAATTTGATTAAACACTTCATCTGAATCTTAAGAGATTCGGGTGATTCTGGAGTGTTTCGAGTAGGAGTTGGTTGTACCGTAGTAGATTCAGATGTTGTAGTGAGACCCTTGGCAGTGGAGGATTTTTGTATGAAGGTTCGTATGTCGGTTTCCCATGAAGTTTCCCACACTTTTCTCGAGTATGGTTGGGTTTGTGACGTTAATCACAAGTGGAGCAAGTGGCTCGAGGAGTGTTTGATGAGTGTTGCTTACTATTAATGGCTAAGGCAAATGATTCGACTGAAGTGGAAGTATCGAGCATGACAGTTCTCCAGCTTTCTTCTTATCAAATTTCTGTGAAAGCAGCACGAGCAGAAGGAAAGGGATACTGGGCTACGATACGACCTCAGACTTCATTAAAGTCTTTGTTAAGGTCTGCTAGAAATTGGAACATGCTATTTTTTTCTGTAGTTTTTTGAAAAAGGGAAAGATTTGCTGGTGATTCCTACATGTAGTCGTAATAGAGATCGCATCCCATCCATAAGGCCACTAAATCATTGTAGTACTTGGTCACTGTCCTTGATCCTTGTTTCGCCTCGCAGATCTTCTTGGAAACTTGATAAAGTTGGCTAAAGTTCCCTTCATTTGAGTAGGTGTCTCGAACTACAGTTCATAAGGCACCGACAAAGAGAAGAAACATATACGAATGGCTAATCGCAGTCTCCGTGGAATTAATTAGCCACGATATGACTATGAAATTCTTCACTTCCTACGCTTCATATGTCAGGTCAGTTTTAGGAGGTTCACGAATCATTCTCGTGAGATAGTCAAATTTCCCGCGTCCCTTGATGAACAGACACGGCTTGGGACCATTGGAGAAAATTAGACCCGTTTAATTTATGGGTGGTGATTAGGAAGTTTATGTGAATTTCTGGTCCTCCGGTTTGCGGAGGAATTGCGATCATTGTCGACTCTACAGTGTACTCAAGTACACCATCAAGGGAAGGCTTGATGGTGGAAGAATCCGCCATAATTTCAACTGAGCCAAATGTGACGTTGGGTTGCTGAGATATAAAAAATCCCTTTTTAGCAACCGGGGATCACTGGAGGCCAAAAGAAACTCGAAACACCAGCCGGAGAGAGCAAGTAACTTTGCAATAGGTGGGATACAGATGGTTGGAAAAGCTTCTTGGCTCACAGGAGTTAAACTCACACAAGAACTTGCTGGCTATGAGGCAGATTTGGTTAAACCAATGACCCCTGCTCTTGCAGCACTATAGTTTGTCTGCCTGACCAGAAGAAATGAACCCAGGAGCAACAACATTTACCTTGATATTTCTGCTTGCATATTATTACCAAGGAGACAGATTTCACGGGAGACGGCCAATATGGAGACAGATTTCATAGGAGATATTCACGGGAGACAATATTTATAGCGGAATTGCTTGAGATCTCTCGGGAGACGGGATTTACGATAGCTGGAGGAGAATTACTGGAGAAAACGGAACACAGGAAAGAAACTGCGGCAGTAGGAAAAAAACTGTTGGAAGAGCCGGCGGCTAGGGTTAGATCCTTGACTTTGATACCATGTTAGGTTTGAGAATAGAGCAGGATAATTGTATTAATAGAAAGGAGGGTATAATTGCATATTATGTCCCAAATAAAAAGAAAGGTATATTTCAAAAATAGACTAACAAGGAAATACATAATAAGGAAACGGGAAAAAAAAAAGCAAACAAAGGCTAATAATTGTAGCAGCAGTAATTAGCCTAATAATTAGGCTAATAAATCTAATACCCTCTAATCTCTTCCTTGAAGTAGTTGTTTCCAACATTTGCTGTTGATCATGTTTTATGATAGCAAATAACTTTTTTCTCTTGGAAAGTCCTAAAGTAGGTCAAAGATTCAACAGGAAGGCCTTCAGTGCAGCTCACAAGCATGTATATTTCTTTTATCACAGTCTTCCTTGGCTTCTATATGTCGTCAATGCAAATGGCAATTAAAAAAGGAAAAAACTCGTAATGAAGCATGCTATCCTGCCAAGTTATTGGCATATTTTCTGCCTAATTTTATCAATTACATCATTAGGATATTCAATTTTTTTTCATTCCTTGTTGCTCACTTTGTATTAATTAACCAAACTACTCAATTACAATTACTATTTTATCACCCAGCCAATTGAGCTTTTAATGAGTCAGGGCACCGGACGTAAATTTGCGTCGGGTGTCTAATTAGAACCACTGAAATACATTTTTTTTTTTTGAGTGGGACCCACTCTTTCATTTAGGTGGTTTTAATTGGACACCGAATGCAAAAAACTTAAGTCCGGTATCCTGACGCAGTAAAAAATCCAGTCAATTAGGCTTCATTTAAATATTTTATTGTTCATTGCTCATACGAGCTTCATGTTTTTCTCTCTGTGCAACTTATTTTCTGTTCCAGTTTGGAACTTAGTTGTTGCTTCTCTTTCTTTTTCTTATAGGTGAAATCTGTCAAGCTACAGGCAACAAGAAAAACTAGCAATGGTTGTGGTATAGATGGAGAACTGTTGCCCTTAAATGGGCAAGTCCTTTGTTCCATGCTTCCTGACCAATGCCATTTAATTGGCCGCCCAGCTAGGGCTCGTCTACAACAGCAGTAAGCATTTTGAATTTCACAAGTGTTCAGTGCAGTGGTTTGAGGATTTTTCTTTTTAGATCCAATGGGAGGGGCGTCGGACCATTACATAGAACGGCAATTCAAGATCTTTCAAATCTGCTTGGAAAAGCACAATGCCACTGGATGTCTTTGTATATTTTTCATAAGCCTGTTCAGCTGAGTATTTGATTTTTTTTTTTTAATTCCCAATGATAGCTTGTTTTTGTTTTATTTTTTGTTTTTGACATGATGTCTGATGATTGAATACTTATATTGTAGGGATTGGTAGGATATATATATATATATATATCAGCATCCTGTTTTCTGACTAATGATAAAAATCATATTGTTTATTCATGTTGGAAGCATTGGATCAAACAATATAAGCATAGTTTATTTATTTTATTTTAATTCGTAGGCTATTTTATTTATGTAATTAAAAGCATGTTATAAAATCATTTTTAACACAGATCAATGTCAGTGTATTGCGGTGGGGCCCATTTTTAACACAGACCAATGCCAGTGTAATTAAAAGCGTGTTATAAACTCATTTTTAGCACAAATCTATGCCAGTGTAATTAAACTCATTTTTAACACAGATCTATGTCAGTGTAATTAAACTCATTTTTAACACAGACCAATGCCAGTGTAATTAAAAGCATGTTATAAACTCTTTTTTAATAGTGATCAATGCTAGTGTATTGCGGTGGGGCCCACTTAACAAGTGGTGTCCCATCATTGGACTCAAAACACAAATTACGTTAGGAGTCTTGATGTAATATTTTCTCTGGAGAAAGGTATGTGATTTTTCCTAAAGCAATTTTGACTACTTGAGATTTATCTCTTTTTCAACCAATGTGCTGTAAATTTGATCATACTTCCAATGGGGCGCGGGATAAGCAAATTTGATTGTTGGGGGTAAATTATTTGATTTTAATGTAAATTCTATATTTTTTTTTCTATGCGCAATTTTGAATGTCTGCCATCATATTCATTTAAGCTAAATATTCTCTAAATAATTTTTAAATCAAAGTATTTTTATGTTCATAATAAGCATTTCTGGTTTTAGCTTTTGGTTTGATGAGAGTTTGAATAAGATATCAAATATGATTGATTCAGTAATTAATTAAAATATGAAAAATAGATATATATATATAGATTGCTACTACATAAGCATCTAAGCATGTCTAAAAAGCCACCACTGCGTAGGTGACATTAAAAATAGTTTGAATATAGATAGGCAAGTTTACCCCATGAGATATGAATGCATTTATAATTTCTTTCACTAAATACACATTTTTAGCTATATGTAAGAGACACTAGCCATATCATGATTTATGAATAAGCTTGATTTAATGTTAATGTAAGCAAGTCATTATGAAAAATGTATAAATAGCACAATATGCTAGCTATAATTTCACATGAATATGAAAGGAGAGATTATAATTTAAAAAGTGCACTTAAAACCATACAATTTTTTTTTTTAAATAAATTTTTTTATGATTAGTTTTAACATTAATTAACATTTTAATTATAGTACTAGAGAAAAATAATTTAAGAGTCTCATGAAAGTATGATTCCAAACAATCCAAGTCATCAAGCAAAGAAAAAAAGATCAAGCTAACATATTGTGCATACTATTATAACAATAAATAGTGATCAAGCTAACATAATAACAAAACTCATGTAGCCTAAAGTAGATAGAAAATATGCATACCAAGGCACTACATAAATACAACCCTATCAAATGTATAAATAATAGGTATAAGCTAGAGGTGTTTTTTGCTCATAGTTCTTCGTTCTTGGATCTTTTGAATTTGAATTTTGCTCGCTTCTAAAGTTCCATGTTTGTAATTTTCCTTAACACCTAGATCTTCAGACATGCATCTAAATGTATACTAATAAAACTCCATACTTATACACTAGCTTATATGTAGGGTTTTCTTAGCTAAAATGTATATATATGCACCCAAAAAATATGTGAAACATTAATTATTACATAATAAATTTTCTTGACTATTCAAGCTTTTAATTAACGATAAAGGGGTTCAGTATAGTTTAGTCCAATTAGCTTATAGTTCTTTCTAAGGACACCCCCATTACAGTAGGTGATAAGAAAAATTAAACTAATTGATATTATTATGATATGACCACCAATGCTAATATCATATTCAATTAAAGCAAACTTTAACCTCTTAGATCATATTGGAAGTACTGATGAAGTCACGATTTAAAAATTTTGTATTTTCCAGCAATTTGATTGATCGCCAATTTTAAATCCTTGAAGATTTTGACTTCTTAAATTTTTATCATGATTGTTATATGCAGACAAATAATTAAGGCTACTTGTTATTGGTATATTTAACTTATTAAACCATTTAGTTAATCATCAGATATCTTATATCATAATCTACATCTTATGTATTATTAATTTAATAATTAATTAAGCATCCCAATTAAGAATTTGTTAAACGATTAATTGAACTTCATTTAAATTTCAAAAAATTAACCATGTGGTTTTTATATATCCAAAATGTTCTAGTTAGAATTTTTATATATTTCTTATTTTTTTAAAATATTTAAATTTTTTATTCAATGATTAAACAAATTATGCTTCAAAGCCATACCCAGACATAGGGTAGAGAGTGAATCACCATATCCTAGAAGGGCGGTGGCCTTTTAGCAAATGAGCCTGTCAAATGACATTAACAATATGTCAAAGGTATAAAATCAGCTCAATTAGGGTATATCAATGAACATATAAGGAATTTATAAGTTGGTAGAGATAGTCGGGTCAGGATTCTCTGGATTCATCATCCCAAGTTATTAAGACTCAAAATCTACCTAGTTGTAGAGATAGTAGACCCAACTCGACTAAAGATCCGTGAGGCTCGCGAGTTTCTTCAAGATAGATGATTCAGGGATCGTATCGATTGTGGTTTTCCTAAATGTTTTCTTACGTGATTGTTGTTGATCGGGAACAAGGTACTATATATGCATATGTTCATGTCGAAATAAACCTAGAATTCATGAATTTGAGGCTTTCTTAATCCCCACGACATTTTGCATGATTTTTCTGATCCCTTAGGATGATTGCAGAATTCTACTAGAATATGTCTATCCTCTCAGAATTATGTGGTTAACCCTTCATTTCCACTACACAATGGTTAGAAGTTGTAGTTTTATAAAATATTTTAACTTTCTAGTTGGACAAACTAGAAGTAAATGAAGATGAGAGGTTAACCAACAACATCAACCATGAAAAACTCTAGAAAATGATTAACAAAAGAATATTGTAGAAAACCAATGATAAATCCCTACATCAAAAAGACACGAATAAAAGCTTAGCCACTCATTACAGAGAATATCATAGCAAAAAATACCACATGAATTCCATTGCAAGCAACATAAAGATGAAAAACTTACAAAAATTATTTTCACAGCAAAAGTCAACATCTTTCCCTCTTATACAAAATCCCTCACAACTCACGGAGTAAAGAAAAACTTTATCTTGACGGTTTCAAACCAAGGAGAAAGAAATCTCTCAATAGATCCCTCAAATCCTCTCCTGAACTCTATTCTTTCAGCCTGCAGGCCTTCTCTGATGCAGAAATACTTATCTCCAAGCCTCCAAGAGGCTAAGAATGATTTCTCTCATGAAAAAAAATATATTTTTATAGTTATTATTATATTAGGGATCCAAAATAGGCATCCAAACTCTCAAAATTCTCAATAGGTCCAAAATTGACAAAACAAAATCATAAAATAAGAGCTGGACGTCCGTAGCGTGGTCATGCCAAACCCTCGCATTGTCACACCTGAAACTAGCCGATCACGCTAGTTCTGGCATGATCAAGACCAGATCATGTGTGGTCACGCTGGACAACACTATATGACGGGTTTTGACCCCATTTTGCACGTTCGACACTTATAACTTGCACAACAAAAAAAAAACCTTTCTCAACTATAAATCTATGATAAAAATGGGAAAATAATATATAAAGTATTGGGGAAAATGCATGTAAAATCATGTAAATTTTATGCATGTCAATGCCTCCGAACGTAACATATTACTTGCCCTCAAGTAATCACGTGGTTCAACTTTAATTATTATGAATTCTTTCGTACTCTTGTAGGTTTCTAACTATTCAACCTGTTAATCAAGACTAAATGAAAATGTTTAAATGTCATTAGGATCAATTATCCTTAATGTTTAATAACTTGATCTTTTCTTAATCTCCTTCATTCCTTCCTTAAGAAGATTCCATTGATGCCTAAATTGGTGTGATTTAAAGTTTTTATCACTAATCTCAAATGTTTTTAATTCAATTTCAATTGATTTAAGCTAACTCCATGTCACTTAACTCTTGCCCTTGAAAATAACTTTTAACATGGTTTTAATTAAAGAATCAAGATAAAGTTTATCACTTAAGTGTCATTAGACCTTCTGATTTCTTTTATTTTCTTGAATTTTTGTTGTGCTAACCTCAAGCTTCTTCTTACGAATTTTGTACTTTTTTTGCTTTTTCTTTTTTTCTTTTTCTTTTTTTTTCCTTTTCTTCTGAGAATTATTTATCTGATTGGCAACTTTTTTTTTCTATTTTTTAACATGTAAAGAAGGGTAATGTTTTTTAAGCAATAATACTAATACTTGATATTCTTAATATTACACCTTCAAGTTATCATTTCCGGTTAAAACTTAAGATCACATTAATTTGGTTAACATGAATTTTAAAAAGAACAAAGATATTTTTGGTTTACTACACAATATCTAAATCAAAAGTTCTTTAATATTCTACGGGTTCTTTTAAGTAAAGTTTAAAGCTGTTAAGTTTTAAAATAATATTATTAACTTATTAAAGTTAATCTTTTCTAATGATCTTTATGCACTTTTAATAAGTCATAATAATTAGTTTAAATTATCAAATATTCTAACAGGAGTTTACAAAATGAGGTTAAACTTTTTTGCTGAGCTATGTGAAATACTTATCATGTTCATAATGAGGCAATGTTTTCTTCGCCCAAACTTGTCTTTTTCCAAAAGATGTATAACAAGAAAGTAATAATACATATAAAAAGCAGGTCAATATAAAAAAAATGATAAATGCATTGTCCACATGAATCTTAGCTTGTACAAATATCAAAAAGCAAGTAAGAAAACATGTTACAGTAAAAATCTCAATATAGTGGTTACCACTTTGTAGAGAAATAAGATTCAAAACTAATTCAAATAAAAATTTAAAGTTGATTTGAAAGAAAATTTAATGCAATTTCAAAGCTAAGT